AAAACACCTTAGAGAAGCAATAAACTCCATATCATACTATACCATAATTACTCCATGAAGCTGATTATAATAACTAAATTTAGCTAGTATGTGGAAGAAATCAAATTAATAATAAAAATAAAAATTGTTCTTCAAAAAAAATATTTTGTTTCAAAACAAATCTATAAGAAAATAACCATATTCTAACCACATTATTAAAAATCCTATAGTACTATGAATTTGTTGCAAATGAAGAATACATCAGTTTCATAAATCGATTTCATTTTTCTTATTTTTATATTAAAATAACCATACTACTAATGCAATACTAAGTAATTAAAAATATATGGATAAATAGTTTCCTTCATAAAGCAACGGGAGTTAATTCAAAAAAAAAAAAAGTTTAATTGAAGAGAACTTCATGAACTCTAAAGTTATTGCAAAAATATATGGCAGCTTTAAATGCCACAAATTCCTTAGCAACATTTTGTACTTAATTTGTTTCATAATTACTCACACATATACACCCATAGACTTCTATAAAATATTTTAACATATTTTCGCATAAATGGGAAACATATTAAAGAATTATTAACTGAACTGCAAAAATTATAACAGCTGAGACCCCAGCGGTCATGCGACTACATGAAAGTTTTGCATATAAAAATTATCTTTTTACATATTTATAATAATATTCAGTATGCATGAATATACATATTCATACATACATATGTATATGATTTGTACTAAATTGAAATAACTGTATACCGAATTAATGTGCTTCAGGGAGATTAAATTGTAAATATTTTACAAAATGCCATGTGGACTTAATTGAACACATGCAGAAATACAAACTCAGTATATATGCATACATATAACTTTCCTCCAACCCTCCTTCAACTCAGACAAAAAGCATAGCAAATACTTTAGAGATTTGTTATGGTTCACACTCTAGCCTAATGGAATATATGAATGTGCCACACCCACTAAATTTATATAATAAAATACCAATAATTAATTTTAACATAATTCAAAGGCTCAAAGGCGTGCAGTATAAACGTTAATGTATCACATACACATACACACTACTAACAATATGTAATACCTAAAAGTATGCGGCACTTATTGTTGAAGTATCTACGCTGAGGACATCACTTGAACAAACTCTTAGTTGTCTTATATTTTTGTTAGTATTGCTTGCTATACTACTGTTGTTATTATAATTTTGTGCAAAATATTTATAGTAATTTGTTAGGAAAACAACAAAATTTTACAAATTCCCCAAAAGGATAACAACATCAGTCAGTATATTTAGACACTATATGTGCATATGCATATTAAACTACTCTCACCCGGTCGCACATACATAGACTTACGCACATTTTAATGGCAAACTTAAATCGTTATAGGGACAATAGGAAAATTTAATCCCTAAACATTTTCAATATTAAAGTCAGTAATGAAATAAACGTCGAATACAGTTGTTTACGCAAAAGGATATGTAGGATTGTGAACTTAAGAAAAATCCTGAATTGCTCTGTAAGCATCTGGTAGCCTAAGTGTTAGACAATTGATTTTATATGTGTGCATTATACTCACATTATAGTCACAAAACAATGTAGAAAGAGTTTAGATAAAGAATATGTCAAGACAACCTACCAGTGCTATGGTGGAAAGTAACAAAATGCTGAGATATAAAACATAATAATAAAATAATAAAAACCAAAAGAAAAGTGGAAAATAATTTACAAAAAATATTATTTGTTACATACTACACTACTCTTGGTACACTTGCAATCCGACAACTGCGTTGTAACTTATACGTATGTTTCACAAATGTAACTATAATTGTCATTGTATCTTATATCTTGTATCTTGTATCTTTTTGTGTAACTGCAATTGTCTGTCCTTAACAATTTTTGCTCCTTTGCCTAAAGTAATTGTGTCTCAGTGAAAGTAACAAATGAATTCGTTAATTTTTTATGAACACATAAAATCTACAAATGTATCTGCTGGTCGTCTCAGTGTACTTATTTATGTAGCAGAATAATTTTGCCGCCCCTGTGTCACATTAGCAGTTTATATGGGTTCCATTAACTTGTTGTCTGCCAGATTTTTTTATTATTAATTAATAAAAACAATTTTTTATTGCTTAATTTTTTTGTAATATTTTTTTTCGTCTTCTTGGAATGTAATGAATTTTTTTAATATATATTGCTTTAAGTATAATTTAATTGTTCTCAGCAGTCCGCTTTTTAAATTTTATTAAGCTACATGTTGAAAATGTTAATAAATTAAATTTATTTAATTTAATTCCTTTTTTTACAAAATAGAATAACATATTATTTACTTAAAAGTGTCTTACAAAACATATCTTCTATTATTGAAGCAGTCGCGGCAAGAGAAGTGTATGTCATATTGATTGAAAAGATAGTGATTAATATTTTCTTTTGAAGATTGTTAATATTGCGAACAATCTTCAATTTAAGATTAATTAATATTAATTAATCTAAAAAACCGATATATCCTTCGAAATTTAATCAATTTTCGAATCCTTAATCAAATAAGTTGTCTTAATAAATCACTTACTGTACTCAAGTGCATTATTATTATTATAATAAAAATCATATCGTTTCTAAGTGATTATCTTTACCACTTTTTTTTTAAATCTTAAAAAAATCTTATTCCCCTTAAACTAATCTCTGTATCTCAATTAATCTACGAAAAGTGTACGAAGGATCAATTAAAGCGTTGGCATAGTTCAATTTATGGAGCCTACTTTTAGGCTAACAAAATAAATTCTTATTTTAGTTTTTGTTGGTTGTATCATAATTTAATAATTTGTAATTTATTCAGAATTTTGTTCTGAATTTAAAATTTTGTTTAAAATATTTAACTTTAATTTATATTATAATCAGTAGTTTTCTTCTCACTGATATATTTTATTATTATTATGTTGTATTAATTAGTTTAGTTTTGTATTTTTTTCATTAACAATTTTAATTTCTTTTCTATTGAATAGCAAAAGTATTCTTATTAAATATTAAATATCCATTTATTAAATTTATTAAAATTGAAAGATAAATAAATAAATTTGTAATAATATATATTTTTTCCAAAAATATGACTTTACATTATCATATTCTAAACAAGTATCTGAAATATACTCCTAATAATTTTATCGTAAATTTCTTACAACTACCCAAAGATAAATAAACAACTAAATTCTCAATGAAAAAATGACTTGTCATATTAAGTAAAAGCAAACAAAGCCCATGTGGCAAACATATAAAGGATACAATATAAAAATATTAAAAGATAGAAATGAAAAATATGATAACTTAGAAAAATATTTTTGTCATATATAATAAAAGAAAATATAAGAAAATAAATAGAATGTATATGGAAAAATAAAAAAAAAAGTATAACAAACCCTTTGCTTTTTGTTGGATTTAATTTATTAATGCGTACGAAATGACTTCAAAAAAAACACAAAACTCAGACAAGAACGAATCCGTACAGTTATTTGCTTTACTTACTGGCAATAATTTAACATTTATATGATTAAAAATTATATATATGTACATATTCTTGTGTGTAATGGTATATGTGCTTTTAAGAAAATATTCAACAATTATTTAAGTTGACATGTAATTTATTATAAAGTTTAAGATATATGCCCGTATGAGTATAAAATAACTTACTCACTTTATTAAATTAGTATTTCTTTTATCTGCTAAAGGACATATTAATAATTCTAGAAGGACCGCATAAGTGCCACATAAAGTTTTCAATTATTTTAACCAGCAAACTTACTGTACTTTCAGCTGTAGTTTTTATATTACATATGAGTTACAAATTTCTTTTACTTGCTAGGTTTTTATTTTAAATTATTTTTTTATTTTAAATTAAATTTATTTTAATAAAATTGCATGTATGCTTCTGCGGATATTGCTTTTGCTGCTACTATCACTACTCTTACTCCTGCTCCTTACTGCTTCTCCTAACTATTATTGCCAACTCATAACTATTCAATAATAATAACAAATATATTTGAAAAGCCGCAGGTGTTGTACTATTTTATCGTAGATACATTCAAGATATGTTCAAGATACATTTAGTTAAGGCACAGATATACCAAGTTACATTAATAATACTTTTACCTGCTGTGTGAGAAAATTGCTGCTTGAACTGATTACATATCAAATAGAGTTTTACAGCTATTGTTTTTCTTTTATAAAATTATATCTAATATTGTACATGTATGGTATGTTATATTAAAAATACAATTTATGTTATATTTCTATTAGTCAAGAAACGAAATAGGGAAAAAATATAACATGAGTGGTAGTATTAAGGAAAAAAATTCAATAGTTATACGATATAGATATAAACAAACATGGTTTACTATACTTTAATAGTATTTAATGATTTATATGAGTAAATAAAAGTTTTCGTTTTTACTACAATATATTTAACCATGTAAGATTGAAAAAGTGTAATTAATAATTAATAACCACAACAATAAAATTTCATACTCTAATTAATAAAAGTATAGTATATAGTAGTAGTGAATCCAAATTACTACTATATGTATTATTTTCAGGTGACGCCAAACACCTGTTATCAGTGATCATTGAAAGCATTTATAAAATTTAATTATTCGTGTCTAATCTTTAGACTTCAAAAGCCAATCTTGAGCTTGAATCCTGCCAAATTTAAATCTTCCCAAATACTTGCTTCCGAACGATAATTTTTAGAAGTATTTTTAAGTTTCTTTCTTCATAAACAATTTTTAGACTAAAAAAACTAAGAGTGAAATTTGAAGTCCATCAAATCTGTAACACTAACTCACATTTTAAGCACCTAAAATCTATATATATACTCAAGAGAATACGTTGTATACATTGCTATAAGTTAGATGGTTGGTTTTATCTGCACCTCTTTAATACACAGTTTCTTGAACTTCAGTGAATCGGTTGTCGACTTCATATCGTGGAGATTTCTTAGTCATGCAGTCTAGAATAATTCACATATATTCAACCACTTGTTTCAACCACTTGAACCCTTACATCGATTATTTCAAAGTGATCCAATAGAAGAATCTTCTCCCAATGGCTATGAGCCTTAGTCTCGCATGAATAGGTTACCGGATCTTTCTTACGGTTACTCCAGTTGACTAGCGTGCGTGAGATAGTCCTGAAAATAAGTATTGAAGGCAATGGCTTAAATTAAAACTACATAACACAGCACCCTGTTTATTTAGCAGTAAATGCAATAGAAGGAAATATATTACTGTATTCTGTGCAGGATATGCAAGGTTAAATTGAAAGAGAATATAATACATTAATAGTCGCATACCCGATTTTTAAATAATACAGATTACTGTACTTTGGAAAACTCTTCACTCGATGTCGATGAAATCGTACTAATACTGAATGACCCCAACTGGAGATTATTAACAGCTTTTATTAAAAATACATTAAAATATATAGGCAAAAGATAATGATAGTAATTTAATTTAAAATTTATATTGTGTAATTAAGTTTATAAGTAATAATATTTATTTAATATTTATGATAGAAGTAATTAATAGATTAATCTAAACTTTCGGCAGATGACTAAAATGCCATAGCTGTAAACTTTATATAATATACTTATTATAAATTTCTGTGTAATATAACAAATGAATTAAAATAAAGCTAATACTATTACTTATAATAATTTAGATACAATTTGACAACAGAACTAATAATAAATCGTTTTTTTTTTATTTAATTGAATTTATATTTAGTAAAATGCTCACTTCTATAAAGTAATAATTACTTCGTAAAAATGACATCTGTGAAGTTTCCTTCCATTTTACATAAAAATAAATTATAAAAAAATAATTTAAAGCCTTGCTTGCTTATGGTATATGCTAGTATATCCTTTTTATATCTACTTCCGTCATATTTATTACTACCAATATAAATTGCATTCCTACACTCTGGGCTTTTTATTGCTGCAACTGTTGTTACCACTGCTGTTTACTGTTAGTGTTGCTGCTGTGTTACTCGTAGCATTGTAGGTGCTGTCGTTCTTATTTGTTGTTGATCCTTTACAACATTTCCTAACTATAAGTGCTTATTTATAACTAAAGGAAGAATTTTAGATTTGTTATAAATTCTACTCTCGCCTGCCAGTTGTATGGATTCATATATACTCGTATATATATAGATTTTTACAGTGTATAAATTTGTTTATTTTAATAAAATTTATATGTCGATTTCTATTTTATTTATGCATTTTGTATTTTGTAGAATAATTTTTTTTATACAATTTGCTATTTATATTTATATATATAAACAACTTATTGCAATTTCCTTTTTCGAATTTTATTTACTTGCAGCAATGAATCACTTGGACAAGATACGTTTATGGGGCAAAGCGATACGTGTTATGGCCAGCAAACATCAGGCAGTTCAGCTACCTAAAGAAGGGCAACCCGATGCTGGACTTACACGTGACTATTCCCAGAATCCATTACATAGATTTAAGAAGCCTGGCAGCAAAAACTATCAAAATATTTATTCACCATCGGCAACATTGCATTTGAGTAACATTCCGTAAGTACAAATATAATATATATCTAAAAAATATATTTACTCTAACTGAACTGTACTGACTACCTGCAGTCAGGGAAATATATAAAATTATGCAGTTCCTTTTTATTTTATATAAAATATTTAAATATATTTGTATAACAATGTATATATAATTCTACAAAAACACAAGTTTTAATAGTTTTTTGTGCAATAAAAAATGCCAATGGCTATTTGGAGTTGACTTATGGTTTTAAGTCACCACCAAAGTAGTGTCACTTTTAATCACTTAAATGTCAGATAGTTTGCCAATAACTTGACTATCTCTACTTAAAGTTTCCAAACTGTTTTTGTGCTCTTGTTTGTCTTTTCTTCATAGTCACAAAAGTCATCACATTAGAATGAAGCTGTAGTTTCAAAGCAATAATTCTTTGTGAAGTTTGCTACTTATTTATTTTTCTGAACGGTGTGAATTATAAATGAATTAAGTTTCAAAAGTTGTTAATAAACCAACAATATACCAATTCATAGCGCAACTCGTAGATACTTGTATATAAAATTTATGAAGCACGAAAGTATTATGCCATTTTTAAAGTACCAAAAAATTAAATCAATATTTTTTAATAATAATTTTTAAATCCCTATGATTTTTTCGTACCTTTTTCATAACAACATTTTCATTAAAAATTCTGGACTTCATTTTCTAAAATAATTAAATCAGCCATTAAGTATATTCTCGGTACTAAGTAGATTTCCTTTTTTTGCTAATATACTTTTTATTAATATTTAGTACAATTACAAATATGTAACAAATTAATATTCAGTTTAGAAGATTTTAATTGAATTAAATTCCTCTAAACTCTGATAGTTAACTATTTTGCACTATCCACTTAAATCATTTAGGCATTAGGCATTTTATAGAAAGAAACTCCTGCAGTTTACAACACAACATTGTTGTTGTTGCAAATTTGGGTATAGTTTTATTTTTTGTACATAGTTTACACGTGGAATAAAGTGCTTTTCAACTTAATTTTTATTAAATTCCACCAGATGTCAATAGTTTAAGTTTATATTAGCTCTACCCATAGACTCATTGCTCTGCTTTAATTATACCTATGTAGATGTATAAATAACCAAGATACTTGTCTTAAGAGTTATAAATAATAAAGATATATAAAAGGATATGTAAATAAAAATATGTAAATATACAAAAGAGTCAAAAAAAAATATTACATATACATTTCTCTATTGAGAAGTATGAGAAGTATACAAAAGTATTTTTATCATTACCACCCTCCATAAAAAAATGAAAATATATTAGACAGATTCGTATAGCAAAGAGAAAAAAGCACAAAAATTTTATTTAATTTATTGAAATATATAATAATTTATTAAAACTCTCGGCAAGAAAAAATTACCATGAAAAAATAATCTTTATAACGTTTTTACTAATTAAGAAGCTAAGTAAAATATTAAACTAATAAAAAATTTAAGTTATGATTTTTAAATTCAAAATTTAAATTCATATTTATTAATAATATAATTACTATAATATTATTATAATTAAAAATATATATAAAAATATTATTAAAATATCAACTTTTCCTTTCCATTCCATATCTTCCATTTCATCTTTTCCATTGTATCTCTTCCATTCTATCTCTTCTATTCCAGCTCTTCCATTTTTTCCAAACTATTTCATTTATTCCATACCATTTAATATAATCCAATCTATTTCTCCATTTTTTTTTTATTTCTACTTCACACTTTCTATTTCATTTCTCCCATTTTTTCCCTTCAATGTTCATCTAAGTTCGTCTAATATTTCTTAAAATAAAACTGCGCACCGCAAAAACATTTGTAAAAACATTTGGATAACCAATACGAGCACAACCCAAACTCCATGAGACAATACCACACAACTGATTATTATATACTAAAGGTCCACCAGAATCGCCATTGCAAATACCCTTCTGATTATTATTACCAGCACAAAACATTGAATTGGTTACCGGTCCTTGATTTTTATAATCTCTGACACACACATCAGTTCGTATGACCTGAACATACATAGTGTGTATTTGCCATGACATACGACGGGATGATTCACGTCTCTTACCCCAACCAGATACATGTACTACATCACCAGCAGTTACATTTGCACTGCATAAACCAATGGTACTAATGTTAGATCCGGTAAGCGCTCTATTTAGCAATAAAACCGCCACATCATTGTGCAGTGAGGTACTATTATAATTTGATGGTAGATAGGCACGGATCACTTGACGTACGTTCGAACGCTGGAAACGATATGTAGCACCTCCAACCACATTAATGCTACGTGGTCGCTTATTATAAACACAATGCGCAGCTGTGACCACATGTCGGGGTGAAACCAATGAGCCGCCACATATGAGATTACCACGTTCTCGTAAATTTACCAAGTATGGTACTCTAGTAACTGTTGCTGGTACTCCACCAACAATTTTTTCATCGATAGCTCTGATGTGAGGCAATAATAAGCACAGTACCAATAATGGTATAAGCGCAACTATATTTGAAGTTCTGATATATTTTACTTCGGACATGTTTTAAAGAAGACTAACTTAGTTGCTCCGTGGGTTGGTGCTTAAAAATCAAATTCTTTTACCACATGAGCTTTATTTTTTACTATTTAATTTAGTAATTTCAAAACAATTGTGTAAATAATTAATTTAGTAAATTCTTTTTACTAATAAATTTTTGTTATTTTTAACTTCGAATCAAATTTTATTACATGATGGAATCTAAGCAAATATAAATATTTGCTAATAAAAACTGTTTATGTTGAAATCATTTCATGTTATTTTATTTATTGTTTAGTATATAAAATATGCTAAAGTAAAACTTTCTTTAAATATTTTTAATTTTACTTAATTTTTTTTTATTCTAATTTTATTATAATTAATTTTTTTTTATTTTTTATTTAAGTTTCGTTTACTTATGTCAATATTATTTTCTTACTTGTCAAAATTATAATTTCATCTTCAACTATATAGGGTTAATATTCTTACATACATAAGTACACAAGGTAGAAAATCAGCGGTGTCAAAACTCTAATTATAACAGAACACATACATATTACTGTAATATATTAAATGTACTCGTTTTTATGCTTAACCATTTGTTAATAAGGTTGGCATCCGAGGCGTAATACCTAGAACCCTCTCATTACACTAGTATAAAAGCCATACAGTTTCTTAAAAAAAAGGAAAGGTTAAAATATATAAGATGGTGTAGAATTTAATATATCATAAGGTATTCAAATGATAGTAAATAAAAAATACTGCTCATCGATATTCTCGAGACTCGCAGATTAAACATCTTATTACCCATAACCCGGTTAAACTATACTCTTTCTCGATACACTAATTAATGACTCTTAGTGTAATTCAATTGTATAGAATACAGTAGTCAGTGACTGTAGCTTAATTGTATATAGAACTTAAATAATCCATAAAGACACAATAGATCCGATGATCGCAATTCCACAACTCCTCTTAATAAGAAATAAATAACCTGTATCTAGATATTGTACCTCAATCGTGCATAAGACGGTGAGTGCAACAAACACTAAGAAAGGTACCTTTAAAGCGAAAAGAAAATATCTTATCACCAGTTTAAACTGTCAGACTAATAACTGACCCGATTGACGCCTGTTTGTATGACAACTGTGATAAATATAATAGTTTAGCTGGAATGCTGCTGTCCGCAACCTTACAATTTTTGAAAGCTTCCCCTAATCTTCCAAAATTACAAGTCCATATCCAAAAATTGTAATTTGTCTTTAATTTGCGCAAATCGGCAGTAAATCTGAGGCTTCTAAATATCTTTTACTGTCAGCAACTCTTTTATGATAGCTGACAAATTCTGTGTATGACCTAAACTGAAATTTCTTGTGATAGGACTCTTTGTACATACAAATAATTCATAAACCAGTGGGCACCTCCACACTACAAGTAGAATAGAATAAATGCAGAGTATTGTATCCCAGCAGAGGACTCATAACTAAGGAAAAGTCACTCCGCTCTTCTAATGAAAGCCAAAACCTTAACTGTTCATGGCAACTTAACATAAGATGCGGATAGGAACTCCCGGCTCAGTTATCTCTACCTGACCCATATTAATGCTGGATTATCAGAGATGATGTGAATAGAGGTCTCCCACACTTCAAATGAACAACTCCACTTTGTAATGAAGACATGTTAAATATCTGACTTAAATATTTTGGTAAAAGAATGCCAACATTTTTTCTTGATTACTTTAATCATTTTTAAAAATGTTACTCAGATAAATGCATCTCATTTGAGAATATTATGAAATATTTTTATTAAAAATTAAAATTTTTATCTGCAATTTTTTCTTTTACTCATCCTCTCCTAAGAGGATAATTTGATAAATTTTTATTAAAGAATAAATATTTTTTTCATTATATTAAAATTAAATTAAAAATAAAAACAGATCATATTGGTCACCAGTACAAAAATTCTTTACCGTGGCCTTTTCAATTAACCATATTTTATATACAAAATAATATCGCTCAACTACTACAAGATTTAATCACAACATAACCTCTGTTAAAAGGCTTTCAGTATTTTCTAAAAGGAAGTGTTTGCATTTAAGCTATCTCTGTTATATAAAGAAATTATTGATGTAAGAACAACACAGTGGGGAGGATGCATCGAAAATTGTTTATTCCTTTCATTTTTATTATAATTCTTACAAGAAGTCTTTGCACAGCACAGCAAGGATATTTTGTTTATAATTTTTATTGTAATTGCAATTACCTTCCTCATAATATTAACAATGAAGCAGAGTAAGCAGACTGCTCTAACCTGCAACTTACAACGAAAGGATGTTTCTTCTGACTGCATACTAGAATATTTTCGTAATAAAAATTCACCAGGAGTGCGAAAGAAAAGCGCTACCAGAAAGTGCTATATTGTCGTTATTGTAGCACAAAAATAATTTAATAGATTTTTTGCCACCTGTAGTCAGCAATATTAAGTTTTTCTCTATGTATCTTACTGTGTGATAAAGTGTGACAAAAACTCTAGCAACAGGACTAAGTAATTTTATATTTTTCATTTTTTTAAAAATTATTTGCTTAAACATTATTAAGTATGCTAGAAAATTTAGTAGGAATACATTTGTCAAAGGATAGAGAAACTACTTTTAATTATTTTTTTTATTGAAAACATATTTAGAAACGTTTCCCCTTTTTCTACTAGTAATATGCAAATAAAAAAATGTATTTATGATAGCTGCAACATTGTCTCAACCTTTTTGCGATACTCTATGGGAATACATAACATTATCTCCTTTTAAGTATCTCCTGAATTACTTAATATGAAGATCCGTTTCAAATGGTAGTATCGTATTGTAAACAATAGACTTAACTTAAAAGTAAAACGGATCTTAATTTCTGGTAGCAACTTCTGCATAGTACAGCAATTGCACATTATCCCATTAGTATTCCAGTAAGGTTTGCTTCCCGAATTGCAGACTTCGTGAACCGAAAAGAACTATCGGTTTTCTTTTATTTCATTTATGTCATATGGTCAAAGCGTCTTTACATTTCAAGCGATTTATCCGTGAGTCCATCAGACATCACAGCAATGCTAAATTCATTTATATCCCTAAACAGTTCACATACCGAGCTTTGTGATTAATCCAGGAGTCCATGAATTCGTTAGCACTCTGGTAAGCGATTTATCCGTGAGTCCATCAGACATCACAGCAATGGTAAATTCATTTATATCCCTAAACAGTCCACATACCAAGCTTTGCGATTAATCCAGGAGTCCATGAATTCGTTAGTACTCTGGTAAGGTTTGCTACATTAATTGCAGGTTTACTAAAACCCAAAAGAACTATCCTTCGTCATCTACTTGATCTATGTCGTATGGTCAAAGCATCCATCGATTTATCCATGAGTCCATAAGGCAGCACCGTAATAGTAAATTTATTTATCTTCCTAAACAGTTAAAACCCTCTCTTGGGTATGCCTTTTGAAGTAGACTTCCCTTCGCTTTGAACTGTGTTTTCAGCTGAGTCTTTGTATTCTTAGACTTAAAATAATCTATTGTGTTGTAACCCTAATCAGTGGTCGGAATAAAAGTCTTTTTTTGGACTGTATATAAAAAATGATGAAATGCTGATACGATCAGAATTGGTTATGGTTTGGGTTTTCGTGGTATTTATCTCTTTAAATTTAGTAACAGTTTCTTTTTTATATTTGAATTTAGTTAATTTTTTTTTTATGTATACATTATAGCTTTTTCATTCAACCATAAAAATATTATATGTATATACTATATTATAATATATCGTATTTTAATTCTTTTATTAAACCATAAAAATGTTATTATGAATAAGGAAGAAATTTTTGTATATATAATATATATATACATATTTAATGTTTACTATTTTTAATTATGAAAGAGAGAGATTAAAAAACACATATATAAACTATTGACTTAATGTTATTTCATTTTTTTATAATAAAATATATTATAAATTATTTTCTATTTAATTTTAGCTCCTCCTGCACTGAGGAAGACATCAAGGACGCTTTTACCTCTAACAACTTTGAAGTTAAAGCTTTCAAATTTTTCCCGTAAGTAGAAAATTTATTTAAAATAATTTTTTTTTTTTTAAAATAATTAATTTTAATGCATTTTTTTTTTTTTGAAAATTATTAATTTTAATGCATTTTTTTTTGTTTGTAATCCTTTTTATGCACTCTACTACACTCAGCAGTAAGGATCGCAAAATGGCTTTACTGCAGTTGGCATCGGTTGAGGAAGCTGTTTTGGCTCTCATCAAAATGCACAATCATCAGTTATCGGAGTCGAATCACTTACGTGTTTCGTTCTCGAAATCTAATATTTAAGTTGAACGGTTTCTTAACCACTAAAAACAAAAAAAAACAACTATAACAAAAATAACAACAAAAACAACAACAAAAGAACAAAAAAATATCAACTTTAATAAGCAGAACTGATCGAGATGCACAACAATTTCCACCCAAAATCAGAAATCAGCAAAAAAAATATTCAAAGTCAACAACAACAACAACAATTAGCAGAGAAATTCAATAGAAAAACTAATACATATATATAATAAATAGATTATAAAATAAACAGAAGAATTTTAAACTAGAAGAACAAATAAAATTAAATTAATTTGACAGTCTCAGAAAAAAATAGTAAAAATAGTAATTTCAGTAAATCAGAGATCCATAAAAAACCAATTTAAAAATTTCAAATTAATTTAATTTAATTTAAAAAAATTTTTTTTGGTGTTTAATAAATTTCAATTCCAATTTCAATTTTTTTTAAATTTTTCAAATTGAATATAAAAAATGTTTAACTAAACTTTTTCAATATAACTGTTTTAAGCGTTTGTTGTGAAAAATTAAAAAATAAAATTATATATATGTATGTATGAATAATTTATATATATATATAAGCAGTGTAACAATCAAATAAGCTTATTTGTAATTTATAATTATTTTTAAAACAATAAATCAGAGTAGATAAAATAATCTCACATGAACATACATATTTTAGATAACTGTGTTTCGTTTTTAAAAAGCATTATTAAAAAAATAAATTCGTTAATAAAATTAATTTTAAATAAAATTATTCAATATGTATTTGCTGATAAATGTTATGTATACACATATAAAATTAGTTATTAAGTAAAGTATACATATATTACATAACAGCTGATAAGATAAAGATAAAATAATGAAAGATAAAAAATTAATTAATTATCTAAGTGTATGCAAATTTAATTTAAAATTCGTAGAAATTGTATTTGTATTAAATAATTTGAAAAATAATTTAAAATTAAATTAATTTTCAAATAAAACTGCGTGATTTGTTTATTAATTTATAAAGGGAATCTTAATCATTAATATATATGTATATGTGTATCAATGTATATGTATATATATGCACTTAAATGTGTTGTTTTGTGTTTGTAAATGTTATAAATATATTATTAATTAAAAACAATGAAAAGGAAAACAGGAATTTTTTGATTAATCAAACAAACACAAAATTAATATTAAGATTAGAAAAAATATGAAAATAAAAATAAAAATTATAAATAAAAATGATAAAAACAAAATTTAACTTAAACAATTTTTGCGATTTTAAATTTTAATTATAAGAAAAACAAAAAATATTTTAAATATATAAGACAAAAAGGAAATGTTGAGCGTTTTAAAAAAAATTACCAAAAAAAAAATGTATATTGATTTTTTGAACATTTTTACAGTAAATATAAAAAAAAAGAAATACAAATTTGAATTTAAAAATTTAATACAAAATTATTTATATTTAAACTTTTTAAACTAGGCAAAAAGCGCAAAGAACAAAATATATATATATATGAAAATTTTTTTTGAACGTAAATTAATTGTTTATTATTAATTTAAGTAAAATAAATATAAAAAAGAATACTAGAAAAGTGATGCAAATATTAGCAAAAAATAAAAACGTGTACGAAAGCAACATTGAAAAAAATAAAAATTCTCAAGCTGGAATTAATTTTTTGGCAGAATATTGTAATATATAAATTAAAAAAAAAAACGAACAAAATAAATGACAAACAATTAAAGAAAGGAAGTGTGTTAAAGTAAACTAAAAAAATTAAAAAATAAAAATTATTTGACAGAAAATATTCTATATTATAGTAAATACTATATACAAATGTGTAAAACATAATATAAAATCATTTTAAAAGCTTAAAATATAATATAAAAAACATACTAAGGGAATTTTAATATATCAAATAGTATATAATTACCAAACATATGTTTTCTTTACTTTAAAAAAGTTTTTTTTGTTAAAAATTTGACTTATGTTAAACAAATTTTTTAATTAAAGGAAATAAAACAATTGCAAGGAATTATATATATTTGAGTTATATATTACAATTTTTTAAATAAATATTTTGTCAGAAAATATATTTCCAAAAGCTAAAGTCAGTTTTATACTTTCTTGAATTTTTTTATATTATTTTATAATTAATTTAATTAAGCACTTAAGCAGTGTTAAATTTTTCTAAATATTTTAAATTCTTTTTTTCTTCTAAGTTTTATGTAATTATTTCAATTTTTTTTTGTCAATTTAATTTACATATATTCTTAAACTAAACTGACATAAATTTTCACAAATGCCCACAGGACTGCTATTGAATTTCTTCAAAAGAAAGCAAAAATGAACTAATGACAAATCAAATATATAAACAAAAAATTAAAAAAATTAATTAAAAAAATTATACATATTAATTAATTTTAAAATGAAATATTTATAAAAAAAAAATATGAATAGTATTTTTTTTTTTCAAAACAAAAACTTAATAACACAAATATTGAAATAATACTGCAGTTTACTCAACAAATTTTGCGATTACCAATTAAACATAATTGAAAAATAAAATCATGTTTATCCCAACGATAAAAAATATTGCAAACTTGAAAAAAAAAATACACAAAACTTATACATCAGTAAATAAATAAATATACTACAAAAGAATATATAAATATATATATATACAAAATATTAACACTGTATATTTAAAATAAAAAGGGAGTGTGTTAAAAACATTGAAAGTATTATATTGAAATTTATAAAATTATATGAAATAATCATTATAAATAAAAATAAAAAATATAAAGTAAATAAAATAAAATTTTTTGAAATTAAAGAATTTACCACTACTAAATGTGAAAGTTATTGATTAAAAAAAAAAAAGTAAAAATCACTTATTTTACAAAAAAAAAAAATACATTTTTTGTGCAACAAAATAAATCAAAACAAACTTATAAATTATAAATTTTAAATCGGGTAACATCCACAAATATTTTAGTTGTATATGCAAATTTTCAAAGCATTTTTAAACAGTATGTGTTAGTTTAAATATTAAAAACAAAAATATAAATAAATAAGACTTAAGACCTATAAGATTAATTAAAGATCTTTTAGTTATACATGTACATGAAACATAATGCATTGAAGAGAAATATTCATTTTAAATATATGCAGTAATTTAGTTTATAATATATGTGATTACATATATTAATGTAAACATATATATTATAAAAAAATTTTAACTAATTTATGACTTATTAACGTATAAATATATAAAATTAATGCTGAAGAATATATAAAGTAAATATATTTTAAATAAAATGTTTGATTGTCAAGTGACGTACAATAAAATATTTATGTTATTTTTTATTTAATTTTTTTTTAATTTAATTAACAATTTTAATTTAATTTAATGAAAAAATATTTTTAATTTAATAAAAGCTTTTTTTTTAATTTAATCAAATTTTTTATTTTATATTTATTTAAATAATTTTTTTAAATAATAATTTATTTGAGCAGGCTAATGTGATAATTTAAATACAAATTAAAAACTATAATTTATTATTTATATATAGACAAATTATATTTTACTAAAATATAATTTTATAATTTTATTAAAATATAATTTGTTTAAATGTAAATATATACATATATATATACAAATATATACAAAAATATGTTATTAAACTAATTTTTTATAAAACTTATTAAAATATCCTTTTTAAATATTTTATTAAAGCATTTTTTAAAAATCGTTTGGAAATATTTTTAAATATTTTATAATAATATATTTTAAAATATTTATTAAAACATTTTTTTTTAATATAAATATATTAAAATATCTTCTTTAAATATTTTATTGAAATATTTTTTAAATTTTTTAAATATATTTTAAATATTAGAAAAATTATTAAAATACTATGTTTAAATATTTTTTTAAAACATTTTTTAAATGTATTGAAATATTTTGAAATATTTTTTTTAAAAATCTTTTTGAAATACCTGTTTAAATATTTTATTGTAATATTTTTTTAAATATTTTATTGAAATATTTTTTTAAATATTTTATTTAAATATTTTTTTAAATATTTCATTTAAATATTTTTTTAAATATTGTATTATAATATTTTTTTAAATATTTTATTTAAATATTTTTTTAAAATTTTATTGAAATAATATTTTAAGTTAGTATTTCTTTTAAATTAGTTACTTCAGTTATGTCCAATACATCAGAACGTCAACAATACTAATTCTCACATTATAATACAGCTATCAGTAAAGAAATTCAACTAGTGATGACTGTACTTATAAAATTAAAGAATGAACTGAAGTCAGACTAGCGAAAATAACTAGTAAAATTTAGCTGACTAAAATATATTCTTTTAATTAAAAAAAAGAAAACAGCCACATATAGCTAATTAAAATCAAAATTGCAATTTATTTGCAATACACATTAGCATGTCTAAAAGGATTATTTATACGTTATAAAGGAATAAAAATGCATAAACATATTTAATTATATGAATTACATAAAACAGGGTTGTTACATTAAAACAAATCAAGAAACTTATTAAAGAACAATCGTTAAACGTAAATCATTTTAAGTATAAAAGAAAAGAAGAAAAAAAACATTATTATAAATTATGAAAGTATTTAATATTTAGTGTGTAGCAAAGTAACTAAGTTAGTAATATTATAATATAAATATAATAAATGAAATTATATAGTTGGTAAATGTTAAAGTGTAGTTGAAATATTTTAGGTGTAAAATCGCAAGTTAATTTAAATATTGAATATTGCATATGACGAAAGTAAGAAATTAACAGTAGAAAGAAGAGGTATGTTTTGCGGTAACTGCTTCTTTTATATATATAAAAGATATGAAGAGAGAAAATAAGCAAAATAAAATAATGAAAATAAAAATAACTAAATTTAAATAAAATAAAAGTTTCGTTTGGAGAGACACAAATCAAATAAAAGATAAATTTAAAGCATTGCAAAAAGCTTATATAAAATAAAACTTATGCAGAAAAACTAAGTCGAAA